GTTTTGACAGATCTCCCTTGGATTTCAGTGGGTGTCTAGCATGAGTGTGGACATTAAACAGTGGAGACCAAATTTAGAGGTGATGGGCTTGGCTGGACCGCAGTGAGTCACTATCAGTGTATGCGTGCTGGTGTAACTTGCTGAGCATAGGGCTAGCAGGGAAAGCAACTGAGTCGAGGAGGTAAGAAGCTGAAAGATCACATAGGGAAATCTCTCTACCTCACTGTTCTCAGGGGCTTTAGGCTGCATGTAGGCATAGGCCCTGGTGCTATGTGTTGTATTTATGTGGTGGATACTTGCACCCAAAACAGTGTACGCCACATGGAGACAGGGGCCTGCCTATGTTGATGTGGTTGGGGGTCTATGGTATTGCACTAGGAAAAGTGCAGGAAGGGCCCTGCAACCTGCTGAGCGTTTAGCACATGGGCCTGGGTAAAGCGCCCATAAGCTGATGATGATGACACTTGCCTTTGTTTGGCCCTGAATGAACAATGCATTGATCCCAGACTTGTCACTGATTTCTAGACTCTGTCTCAGAGGGGGATGCTTCCCACCACCAGTTTGATTTGTCAAAAGGAAAAGCAAAGGAAACGTCAAACCCAATGCCCGAGAAAGAGATGGGCCTTGAACTCCCTCCTGGAGACCAAATAAGTCTGACTTTGTCTGAGCAACGGAGGTTGAGACAAGTTGTAGCCAAAGGTTGCGTTGTGTTGTGTTGTGTTGCTTTGTTTTTGTTTGCCTAGCACTCTCCTGCCCAAGAGCAGGGTTCGGCTGGTGTTATCTGCCCCTTTTGAATTAATAGTAAGAAGCTTGATGTGCTCAGAATACTCCTGGATACTTGCACACTGTTTTTCTGGTATGCACACACCTCAGAGCAGTTGGACAACCTCAATCGCTTTAGCAATGAGGAAACCAAGGAGGCTGGAAATGAAGTGGTTTATCTGTGATCACCAGGGATCCTGGTTTTCTCTGTTTAAAAATGGCAATTTCTCTTGATTAAAACCCCCAAAATCTGTGTTCTTCTTGATTAAAATAAAACACCACAATCTAGCTATCTATATATCTATCGGTTGAACACACTATTTTATTGATATATTTACACTTTTAAAGCAATTTTGACGCCTATCAGTGCCTCAATCACTATACTAAAACAAATACTAAATACCTATACATTTTGGCATTGATTTTGGGTTTTTTATCATGGAAAAATCAGAATTCCCCAAGCCCCCTTTGCTCACCAAGACATGGATCCACCTGTTACTGTCCTCCTCGCTGCACTGCTTTCTGGCATTGAGCAGCCCGGATATGCCAGTGCCCTGCCCATGCCAGTGGCCCTCACTTCTCACCCAGAGCTCCTGGGGCCCTGCTGGTGCTCCTCACTCCCTGCCCCCCAGCTGTAATGGAGGGGGCCCCCAGCTGCCAGAGCTATGAGGCCAGGGACCTGGGTCTGCAGTCCCCTGTTCCCCACAGCAGTGCTTGAGCCCCAGCTGCTGCATGCAGGAGGCAGTGGCTGCTGCAGCGGAGCAGAGCACGAAGCCCAAGTCTCTTTCCCCCATGGGCAGCATGGCTAGAGCGGAGCCTGGGGAGGGGGGCAGATGCAGGCTCCCCACTGTAGGCTTTCACCCTGCTGTCCTCCCCTGGGGCCTCTGCAGCCCAGTGGGTGGGGACCAGGTGCAGAAGAGCAAAGCAGGGCTGAGTGGGGAAGCTCAGTGCCTTCACTGGGAGCTCCACATCACCACGGCGAGGCACCCACTGCTCGTCCAGCAACAGCAAGGGGCACAACTGTGCTCCACCACCCGTACTGCTGCTGGGTGGGCAGGGGGCACTTCACCACAGCAGTGTGGGCTTGCAATAGTGGCATTGAGCTTCCCTGCCCTGCTCTGCCCTGCCAGGCGGGGTCCTGCCCAATGGGCTGTAGGGCCCCTGGGGGAAGGGTAGCAGGGTGGGAAGCCTGAGCCTGTAGTGGGCAACCCACCCCCACCCCACACATAAATCTTGGGGGCATGTGCCCCCCCAGGCCCTACCTGGAAGTGTGCACAGTGGTGGGGAACCGCCCGCAGCTCTGTCCCACTCATTGCCTGGGCCCGGTGGGGCACAATATGGCCCCAGGCCCCCCCCCTAACTCCATGCACCACCCCAGCTGGGCACCAGCACCAGCCCTGCCCAACTCCCTCATGATGTGGGCCTCAATTTCTGCCCCCCCAATCTCCAGACGTACCTGCGGGAGCTGGTCTCCAGGCTGCCTGGTGGACACGTGCATGTGTACGTGCACATGGCACCCCCTGCTGATCACCCTTCTGTCACTCCCCCCAGCCCCTTGCAGGCTGGCACTCTGCCAGCCTGCAAGGGGAAGCCCATCATTTCCTGCATTTTTCTCCTTTAAAGGAGAAAATATGGGTTTTTCTCCTTAAAATGAGAAAATCAGGGTTTTACCGCATTTTTCCATGGCTAATGGAAAACCCAGGTCTCTGGTGATCACCCCATCAGTTTATGGCTGTGCCAGGAAAGGAAGTTCCTAGACCTGACTCTTTTATCTGGACTTGTTGTCTAGCAAGTTCTTCATGGTTCTAGGCTGCCTCAGTTTTCTTCTGCCCCATGACTGGATGAGACTTTTGTATGCAGGGTAAAGGAAACCACGTAGACATGCAGGGTGAGCCCCTGCCTAAATACACAGCTGCAGAACTGATCCAGGAGAATTTTGTTTTCTGTGGATATTGTTGATGATAAAAATAGTGATCCCTCCTACAGCAAAGGGGACAGAGGATTGCATGCGGTTGACAGGAACCCAGAGTATTGTTTGCACATATATTTCCTTTGTGGCATTTGCTCATCTCTTGCTGACTGTAACAATTCCTTGAGTCCCTGATGACAATCCTAATTGCATGGAGCTGAGATTTCAGCATGGAAAAGAAGATCCATCTTGCCCCAGTGGCTGCTCATTATTTCACTAAAATTATGTCACTCACCGTGATACTCCTTTTGTTTCAGTGGATGATGTTATGAAACAATACCTGTTAAGCTAATCACTATTGGCTTGCTTTATACTCCATGTCTTTGATGTCTTTGGTAGTTCATGTAAGGATCTGCCTCTATTTTGCCTTGATTGACAAGGCCTTTTCTATATATTTGAGCAATTAAGCAGCCCAGTAGCAGCTGCTAAGGAGTTCGACTAAGCGCAAACCTGACAAAGACTTCTGTACAGGTCTCCTGGCATCCGTGTTGACATTCTGAAACACCATCTGCAATTTAAAACTTCAACGGGACACTTGGATCCAACAAGTTAGGTGAGTGTGTTTCTGTGTTGGCTCCATGTCACTGCTCACGATTAAACTAGGAGGCTTTTGCGAAGGAGACAACACAGAATAAATATGTATTTCTATTGTTGCCATTAGAAATAAGAAATGTTACTACAGTAGGAAAGGCTACACATGGTAGAATATGGGCACCTAATATGCGTGCACCTGAGTGCATATACATACATTGTTTATGTACCCACACATATGTTCATGAAGGTTTCACCATGGCCCACTTGCCCTGATGTTAAGCTTTGGAAAGATGTTGCAAACTTCTAGGTTAACAGGAGTTTAGATCATCAGGCTTCTATATATTTCCTAGGTTCCCTAGTAGCATACAGGTTGCATAGCTCCATTGACTTTAGTCAACACAAATTTATTGAAGCTGATGATATGGCTTGGTGCATGCAATCCTGTTTTCTTCAGTGCAGTCTGTTTTTCAAAGTTAAATGTCAGTGCCTGAGGTTTTTACATGGGCAACTATCTGCAATGCCAGCTTGAGCAGTGTAGGGTTTTGGGTCTTGATTCACCCTTTTAGTCTGTTTCTACCTCTCTTCTGTACCAGGGGAGCTGCACCTGAGAGGGTAGTTGATTCCTTCCCCAGTGGGCTTCACCAGGGGGAAGGAGTGATGGTGGGGGAGCAAGTTGCACAGGAACTTGGCTGATGGATGTCGCCTGTGTGAGGCTGAGCTGAGGCACCCTTCAGATGCCTGGGCCAGGCCCTTCCACATCTAGGAACATCCATTTTCAAGGCCTCATTGACAGGGAAGCTGCCCCTTGCAATGTGCATGGGTGGGAGGTGGCATGCATTGTCACACATTTAGTCTGCAGAGCAAACGTGTGTCAGATATTCCTGGCATTTGTAATAGGTGTGCTATTGTAGAGCCCCCTGGCAGGAGAAAGTTTTGACTGTCTGAAGATCAGTGATCCATAGAGGGTGGGGAGGGAAGGAAGCAGTCAACTAGGGACCATTTTAGAGACAAAGATGGTGAATTCTTCCGAATTAACTACTCCTTGTCCTCATCTGCTCCTGAAACCATTGGTCATTTTAATGGGCTTTTCAATGGGTTATGAGCAGGAGAACTTGGATGTAAGGCTCAGTTCAAAGACCATGTTTTAAAGCCATTATGGATTCATACCTAAATAGGCCATATTGTGGCTGGCCCCTACATGTGCGTGCTACCAGATTGGTAGGATCCATCAACTCTTGGCAGCTTCAAGACGGTTCTAGATTTCTCTGAAACGTGCAGCATCCTTTGGCCTCTTCTGTTCTCTTCTGGCTGGGGTGTTTGGTGAGCAGGGCTGTTTGGCTGCTGTCTCCATCCCTGTGCCTCCAGCTCTCCCCTAGTTCTGGATGAAGCTGGAGCTCAACTGTTTTTGCAGCCAGTTTTTGCTCTGCTTGGGGACTGGAGAAAGCTGTGTTTTTTGTGGCTTGGCAAAGCCCACAACTAAAGTTAAGGCTGCTGTTACAAACCTACTGCTATGTGAACCTAGTCAGCACCACCTGGATTGTGAGGCGGGAGGGATAGGATGTCTCATCTTCTCCTTGCTGCTGAGACATGTGGCCAAAGGGAACAGTGCCATCTTGTCCCCAGTCCCAGCATGCCAGACATGCACACTGTGCCAAGTATATCAACTCCCCAGTTTGGGAAGAGCAGGTCCACTCCTCTCACCTCTGTTGGCCTTCTTTCCATCTCAGCGCACAGCATGAAGCTCCATCATGTGGTCCTGGGCTCTGTGCCCCTCCTGATTCTGGCTGGCTGTGTCAGCGCGCTGAAGACCTCCAACATTAACCTGCGCACATTCATTGGCTGCGCTGTGCGTGAGTTCACCTTCCTGGCTAGGAAGCCCGGTTGTAGGGCGCTGCGTATCACCACGGATGCCTGCTGGGGACGCTGTGAGACTTGGGAGGTGAGTATACCAGAGGAGTGCGTAAGGGATGTGTGGGGCCCAAGGAGCTGGCACTAAACAGCTTGACACTTGATGTATTGTTTTCCAAATAGAAATTGGTAAGAGGTGCAGTGGGCAGGTGTCATTATTCCCCTGGCATCAGGGGGGCTGGACTTGTGGAGACCCTAGGCTTAGGACTCAGAAGTTCTGTATTTGGTTCCTAGCTATGCCACAGATTTTCTGTGTGCCCTGGGCACGTCTCTGCCTCTCTCTCTCATGTGAAAAACCTTTCTTCCCCTAGGCAAATCATGCTTTGATGTTAAGATCTTTGGAACGGGGGCTTCCCTTACAATGCCTTTGTGTAGCATCTAGTAGAGTGGGGCATCTCGGGGCTGCTATGATGCAAACAAATAACGACAAGAACACGAACGTGCTGAGCATACAAGTATGAAGGCAAAGACACTGCTGTGGTGAATGGTAGTCTTAATATAAGTGCCAGGAGCTGAAAAGTTTGCCTTGAGCCATTAATTTTAACCACTGTCTACGAGACGCACACACATCATGTGGTAATGTTAATAATGTGCTTATGTAATACCCTCGTTATGCAATTTGAAAGCTTCTTGCAACTTATATGCTTAGGGGAAAGTGTCCTTTATTACTTTACTGGAAGAAAATTCCTCTGAGATTAAAATGGAGCCCACGGTTCATGGGTAATAGGTTTTGTTCCAAAAAACCCCAAATCCCAATGACAATGTCTGTTTCTAATTTGCCCTCATTTCAATCGCACCCTTGTATGAAAATGAGGAGGTTATGTTGTAGTGGGGTGGAGAGAGGGGGACCGAGGAAAAACAGGTCTATACAGATGAGGGAGATGAAGCTCATGACTAATTTTAGCTTTCTTTAATGAAAACATTCAGTGGGCCAGGCCCTGATGTCCTTCTCAGGGAAAATCACATTGATTCAAGGGATTCCTTTTGCCCAAGCAAAGCCAAGGACCTCTTCCTTCCAGTAACCAAGGCGAGGAGGAGCCAACTATTTCTGAGGTTTAGCCTTGACTTTCCTACACCTTCTTTCATTGCCGGGGGGAGGGAAGATGGGCTGCTGCTTGCTTCCCCTTTGCTGGTGCAGGAGATGAGGCAGGGATTCCTCCACCTTAACCAAGGGATCCTTTGAGGTGATGTCTACACTGCAGTGGGCTGGGCTAGGAAGTGCCACCACAAAAACAAGCCCTCTCGCAACACTGACTGGTGTTGTGCAAACACAACTGGAGACCCCTTGCATTCCCATTCTCTCCCAGTGGGCTGGGCTCTATCTCCCAGTCCCTACTCTTCCTGAGCCACAGACGTATTTCATGGGACATGTTATTTGGTTGGGGAAGCTGGTCTAGAGGGAGGAATGGGCACCTGTGGCACTTGCATTCCACCCCTCTCCCCCGATATTTGTGGTAGCATTTCCAAATGAAAAAAGAATTCGGTTCTTGTGTGTGGCTTTTTTTAAAAGTGAAATCTCAGCAGAAAGCAGAGACTTTGCAGGCAATATTTTGGTTAGGTAAAACTCCAGAGTTAAGAAAAACAGAAGATTTTTTTTTCAAGCAGCCCGAGTCCAAAGAAATCTTAGCAAAGTGAACCTAAAGGAAAAGGAACTAGAAGCCGTAGCAGGTCTGGACCTCATGCAGGACTAAGAAATGTTCCTTGATGCGCTCTGTGCATCTGCTCCTGTCTACCCATTGTGTGTAGGCTCGTGATCAGTCTTGTTGAAGTAACCAGGGCTTGGTGGGAGGAGGGGGCTTTAGGATCTTCATAGACTTCCTGCTTACCTGTCTCCCCTTTACCTGGCCTATGTCTAATGTCAGCATTTTCCCTCCTGCTAACAGAAGCCTATTCTGGATCCCCCTTACATCGAATCTCACCATCGAGTCTGCACTTACAATGAGACAAAGCTGGTGACAGTGAAGCTGCCAAGTTGCGCTCCTGGTGTGGACCCCTTCTACACATTCCCTAAGGCCATACGGTGCGACTGTGGTGTCTGCTCTACTGCGACGACTGAATGCGAGACTTTTTGAGCCCTCCTTCCCCAGGTGCACAGCTGCCTTGGCTATTGCGGGCCAGATTCTGCTCTGATGTTACACCCACTTTCACCCCAACATTGCAGGAGGTGTAAATCAGCACAGAATGTGACCGCTGAGTCTAACTGCTTCTAATCACTAACTCTTCAGCACAGTAAAGGCATACTCTTTTCTTCTCTTCGCAGCCAGTTTAGAGAACTATTAATGTAGTATTGTAATAAGGAGCCTTACGACAATATGTCATGTGGAAAGTTATGATGCAGTTTCCTTTACCCAGAGGCGTTTCACAGTATGTGAACTCACCTCATGCACAAAGCACACATTTAATAAGCAGTCCAAAACACCTACAAGTGGAGAACAACAGTGTTAAGGTAACAACAGCTTTGTTCATTTTGGTTTTTGTTTCTTCTATTCTTGAGCTTGGGAATGTAAATGTACTCAGCAGAATTCCCTTGGTGCCCTTATAGACCAGTTTCCTTTCCCACTGACAAGGGTTTCAATCGGGAACAATGCCACCAAAATACTTAAAAACTGGTGTCATTAGTGAGACCAGGGTTTAGCTCTGGTTCATCGGGTCTATAAATTCATTAATACAAAGCTGTAACAACCCCTGTCACAGAAAAGCACTTAAGCACAAACTTATACTTTAAGCATGTGTTTAAGAGCTTTGCTTAATTGGGGCATAAATATCACACCACTCATAAGGAAACCTCAGTCTTTGAAGAAAAATCACTGAAAGCCTGAAAGAGAAAATCACATTTCTTCCCATACAGGGTGAGGAAATCAGTTGATTTAATGGAAATCAAAGAGCTTTGTATGGCTGGTGAGTCTCTCTTAACGATTTCTCCCAACTGAAAAGAGCACTAAAGGATGGTGTAATGGTCTTGGTTTTCCTTCACAAGGAAGCAAGGTCAAAGAAGGCCTATGCTGGTTCATTCCACAGTCCCCAATGCAGCTTTGCTCCTCAGAGAGACCTGCTCCATGTCAGGTGTCCATGCCGTGGACCAGAGGAGCGTGGCTAAGATGCCCACTGTGGAGGGTTTAGCGCGGTTCTCCTCCTTACCTCAGCAGACCGCCTATTAGGGAATGCTAGAGCAGTTTCCTTTAATGACAAAGACCACAGAAATGTTTCTAAGAGTGATCCACAACTGCTCAGACCCACTTCAGAAGCTGAGGAGGGGATTGCAGGTCATAGCTACTGTAACAGCACATCCATGGCCTCAGATGAGCTGCCTAAGTGCCTTTTGTACCCAGGCTCTGGGTGGGAGTGGTTGGTTTAGTATCTTCTCCCTCAATTGTTTCCCCTGAAGAAACCTGGTTGGTTTGTATTTTTCTGATAAGAACAAGACGTTTTCCTGACATGATCTGTTAGCAAGAGCGCGTAAGGCAAAGTGAGTTTTCAGGGCAGACACTGGGGTATGCTTTTTGAACAGATTAATGTCCAACATTTTCATTTCCCTACCTGGTTAGGGCCTGATATTAGACAAACCAAGAGGCTGAGTCTCCTAATTACATTCCCTTCTGTTTCCAAGATTCATGTTTGACACTACAAAGCAAGCTTACTTGAAGTTTCCTGCTCTCTTTGAAATACGTCTTTTAATTTAAGCTATAATTTATTAAACGCTGCAATTTTGTCTGTTGACTTGTAAAAGCTACGCTGTGGTTGGGTGATTTATATGATTCTGCCTTACAGAGTTCTTGACTAGATGGACGGCTGTGTGGAACAAGAGCAGTAGCGGTTTTCTGCAACACTGACTTTAACTGCCTTAAATAATCCTGTATTTGGTTTCAAGTTGCATCTCTCATCCTTCTGGTCTTGTTATTGCTCTAAATGGCATCATACATCATGGGTGACCTACAAATTAATTTCTGGGTCCTTAATAAACCTAAAATTGTAGCATCAAAGCAATTTAAGACATGCTTCCATCCTTATTTATGCATTGGGCCTGCTAACTACTCGTTCAGTTAAGCTGCAGCAAGCTGTTGCCAGTGAATACCTGCAACTGGTCCCGTAAGGGTGAATTTTTGGTTGTATGCCATACAGGCTGATTGTCTTCTGCTAGACTGGTTGTGCTGTAGGTGGCAGTCAGAGAATTGGGAGGTGGATAAAAAGTGCTCTTCAGAGCCAACTGGGAATTCAAACTTCTCAAAGACGGGAGCTGGTAAAGCAGTTGAAATCTCAGAAAGTATCTAGGCAGACATTGCACAGGGTGAATGGATGTTTGACTGGTTGCAGTGCCAGACTGGCTGGGGAGTGGAAGAAGAACAGTGGGAAGAGTTGAGCGACTGGAACCAGCCTAACAGCTTTGGGTGTTTTTAGAGAAAATGGCAAAAATGAATGATGAAGTTGAATGATGGACAGCAAGGGCAGTGGGGGTCAGAAATACAACAAGAGACTAAGGCCACCAGATGTATTAAACATGACCAACTGAACACCCATCAATTAACTGTGATCACTGCCAATCTGAGATGGTTTCACCATGTCCTAGATGTGGTAGATGCTGTTGCTCTGTCCCTATACAACTAACTCTGATGGAGCCCATGGAGTAGACTGTATCATAATAGTCATTTTGGGGTCCACATTTTATCATTGCTAGTAATAGGCACAAATTTGGGGATCAGTCCAAAAGTCCTTACTCATCATGTTCCCAGGGGCTTCAAACCTTGGCAGCCAAAATTTGGTTCTTTGGCTTCAGTATCCTTTAATGCCAGGGCTGAATTTGGTCCTGGAATTGATTTGCTGAGTCTCATTGAAGGAACTGATTGTGATTGATTATAGTTGCAGCTGTCAAATTTCTGCAGCATTCTTTACTATGTTACAGAAGATTACCAAAGAGGTCTTCGCTGCTGGGCTGCTCTGCAGAGGTTTGAATAAGGACAGATATAACCTGTCACCTGTATAATACCACATCTACAAAATAGTGCATCAGGGGTAACACGATACAAGCTTTGGGGGAAAATGTGAGAAAGTTCATATAACAGCAATGTATGTGGATAAGAGAAAAACACACAACTACATGAGTGTCACTAAGGCAGGGGTGGGCAATTATTTTGGGCAGAGGACCGCTTACTGGGTTTTGGCAAGCTGTCGAGGGCTGCATGGGTAGCCCCATCCCATGACAAATGCCCCGCCTCCTGGTCACCATCTTGGGACCAGAAGTCCCGCCCAAACCTCTGATCTTTGCCACCAGAAGTCCCTCCCCTTCCCCCCAAAGTACTCCTTTGGGGAAGAGGATTCGCCATCTTAGAATGGGAAAACAAACAAATTATATACTAAAAATCAAACGCTGATAATAGTATATTTTAATTTAATTTAAAAAAATATTTTTATCCTGATTTGTGTGTGTTTATGCTGTATATGTAGAAGTGATTGCATAATAGCTCAAAATGCAGTCTTACTCTTGTATAGTGTGTGGGGTATGCAGGGATGTCGGGGGGTATGGGTAGGTGGGTGTGGGGTTTGTGGGGAGCCATGGGTATGGGAGTTTTGTGGGGATGTGTGAATATGTGTGTGGGGTATGGTATTTGTGGCTTGTGTGATTGTGTGTAGTGGAGGGTGTGGCTGTGAGGTTTGTGGGAAGGGTGTGAGGGTATGCAGGGTATGCATGGGAGGTCCCCCCTGCACGCACCCCCTGAGCCGGTCAACACCCGCCTCTGCCTTGCAACAGCCCAGAGCCCGACCGCCCGGCGGTGCTTCCCTGCCACCACCAACAGTGGGCAGCCCCCCTCTGCCCGCTCTGCACCACCTGGCCACATGCAGCAGTAGCGGCGGGGACCACTGCATGCAGCCACAACTCTGTGCGCCCCACACCAGCTCCGGGATCAGCATTGGCATCTGGCCTGAGCGTTGGCAGCAGCAACTGGGCAGAAACTGCTGCTTGACGTGGGGAATGCAGCCCCTCCCCCACGCTGCCACTGGGCAGTTTTTGCTGCGGCCACCCAGAGCCCGTGCCACACTAGGCTGTGATGCAGTACCTTCACTGCCACCTGTGAGATACCTTGCAGCAGCTCCGCACTGTCAGTGCTGCTGTGCTGGGCAGCCCAGAGGTGGCAGTGAAGGAGCCGCACTGCAGCCTGGCATGGCGTGGGCTCCAGGTAGCCACAGCATAAACTGCCCAGCAGTGGCAAGGGGGAGAGGCTGCTTTCCCTGTGCTGAGCAGCAGTTTCTGCCCACTTGCTGCTGCAGTTGCTGCTCAGTTCCAATGGACGAGCCTGGAGTGAGCACTGGGGCCTAGGCTCAGTAGCGGCAGCATGGGACAAACCACTGCTCATCATGGGAGAAAAGTGGCCCTTCCCCCTCCCAACACTTCCTGCCCCAGCCGCTCGGAGCCTGTGTGGGGCTGCCCTGTGTCTACACTGCGCTGCCACTGCTGCCTCATGGGGCATCCCAGACATCAACCCTGGTGATGTGGTGGAGATGCAGGACAGGCCCGCACAGGCTCCAAGCAGCTGCATCAGGAAGCAGCGGGAGTGGGAAGGGACACTTTTCCCCCATGCTGAGTGGCAGTTTGTCCTATGCTGCCACTGCTCAGCCCAGATGGGCAAGCACGGAGCGCATGGGTTTGGGGCTGTGTGCTCGTCCCTGCTTGTACTGTGGTGCCAGGGCAGGGGGCACTGGGAGCGAGCAGGCATGCAGGAGCCAGCAACAGCTGGACAGGAGTGCGAGGCCTGTGCTGGTGTCTCGGGGCCAGTACCAGTGGGGCCCATAGCGGGGCAGCAGGAGCGCGGGGTCCCGGCTGGCAGGGGCTCTATGGAGTCAGCCAGCTCCCTTCTCTCCCTGCTGGCATAGCTCAGCTCAGCTCCATAGACCCCTGCTAGCCTGCTACCCGTGCTTCTGCCCCCCCACTCTGGGCCCTGCCAGCGCTGGCCCCAAGACACTGGTGTGGGCCCTGTGCTCCTGCACACCTGCTTGCTTCCACTTCCATCTGCCCCACCTACAGGCTGCTCTGCACCATGTGGCTCCCCTGCCTCCCCACCCCCTTCTTACTTTAATTTCC